CCGCCGGTAACCGCGCCGACGGGGGCTGAAAGCGTCTCCCCCGTCGCCGCTAGGAAAGCCGGGGGCTCTGGGCACGCAGCGTTCACCCCAGCGGCTGGGGCAGGGTGGGAGAGCGAGCTGGCTCGGAGGGGTGGCGATCACCCCGAGAGAACGAGTTAAGGGGGCGCGGAGGACGTTGTTTTAAGCTGGTTTTGCAAGTAAGTAACTTGCATTTAACGCGGCGCAAAAGTGAGATACAAGTTTAGGCTAAGTAAATATTTGCAGGCTGATGTTGAAAGAAAACTTTAAAGGAAACGAACTGAGTTCTTTTAAATACACAAGTGACACACAATCTTTTCGTTCTGCTTTTTTAAAGCTTGCCCCGATCATTTTCAGATTTAAATGAATTAACTTAGTTTGTAATTCCATAAACTAAGGAGTAGGTTAAGGCCACTCTGTAAATATAAATATTTAGAACATAAAACTGAGGAGCTGATGGGTTTTGTTCCACTTGCTAAGTATCATGTAGATTTGCTGGTGATGAAAAGTTGCATGTCTTAATGCAAGCTGCGTTTTTAAAAATAAAACTCCCCCCCCCTCCAATTTGCAGTGGTGTATGTGTTTGTGAGCTTTGTCTCTAGATGAGAACAGTTGCAGAAGTTTTTAGTTACTAATGTAAATTCTAATTGAATGTGCCATTTCTCCTTTCCCCAGTGTCTCAGTTTAAAATGGTGAATTACTCTTATGATGAAGACCTTGAGGAACTGTGTCCAGTTTGTGGAGATAAAGTGTCTGGGTACCATTATGGACTTCTCACCTGTGAAAGCTGCAAGGTTCTGTTCTAATTACTTCATACAAACACAAGTACAGCAAAAAAAGTTTCAAATATAAGCAGAAAAAAACAATAATTAAAGAAAACAGATGTGTAATAATTTAGCTTATTTCTAATATGTTTCTTGTTACATTCATGTAAAAAATTAGCCACCAAAAAGCTTTAGGATTTAGAAGTCTCTTAGAGAGATCTCATCTGCACAAATGGAAACAATTTGGATTGGTTTGCATTATAGTTTTATCCTTGCTTTTAAGTATTTTGCTGTTGTCAAGTGTTGTAGTTTTAGAACAACTGTCATTCCTAACTGTCCTAAATATTGATTTTAGTTCATTTATATACATTCAGAATATTTCTATTCCTCGAGCATAAAGTAGGAAAGGTATCCTCAATATAGATCAGCTTTGCAAAATCTAATGCAGCTTTCTTAAGTTTTTTTTTCATCCTTCAATATTATAACGTAAATTTCTGTGACTATTATGACTGTGCACTTTTTTCATACAAGCTGTAACTGTCAGAGCTCACTTGACACAAGTCAAGTAACTAATGTATAATTTGTTTTAGATCATCCATTAATTTTGATAATAAAATATTTGAAAATGCAACTTATATTGGAAGATAAATGTATCTGCATGGATGTATTATATGAAACAGTTTAAATACTTACGAATCTATTACATGTCAAATTTGTCATGTAAAATTTTTTTTAAGTTCTTTACAATTATCAAAGTAATGCACTGTAAAAGAAACTCCTTTGCCAGAACAATGCAGTTTAAAATATTTAGTTGCATGGAAAAATTAACTTAGCACATTATATTTTCATTTAAAAAAAATCAATGAGAAATGAACAACAAGCACTTATTATCCCTTCAGCATGCACCACTGGGATGTACAGTAGCCAGAGGTACTCTGTATTTCTGTTATCTTTGCAACAGTGTCCCTACTCATTTCATGTAAAACTACTTTAAAAGGAAAACTTTAATAATTTTGCAATGATTAAAGAATACAAAAGGAACTAGTCAGCCTCACTATTTCTGCAACCATTGTTAGGGGCACAGGAGACTACAGCCAGTCTTACCAAGCTTTGACATAAGTCTATAAAACAGCACTAACACAAGAAAACCTCTTCTGGAGTCTGGTGGTTTTCTCCTGAGTACATCTCACTGTAATTTAAAATAAACTATGTAACTTCATAAGTGCTTGAGTGGTGTCTGAAAAATATGTTACAATGATTTCCATAAAATAAAATGCTCAAACATGCTATTCAGGCAAAACAGGCTAACTTTTGTATCTATCATACAGGGATTCTTTAAGCGAACAGTCCAGAATAACAAAAGGTACACATGTATAGAAAATCAGAATTGCCAGATTGACAAAACACAGAGAAAAAGATGCCCTTACTGTCGATTTCAAAAATGTCTAAGTGTTGGAATGAAATTGGAAGGTAAGAGCTATAGTCTTACTGATACTGTCAACTACACTATAGATTAATTTTGAAAGTGATAGGATTACATATGTTATTATATGCTATTTTATTTTTTAAAAATGCTCCATATTTATTGTGGTTTTGAAATCATAGTAAAAGGTGACTGTGTGCTCAATGAAATTGTTGCTTTATAAAAAAAAAATCTAATGAATAAATGGTAAATCACTAACAACTAGTGAAAACCATAATCTATTTTTTCATATATGTGTAAAATTTGATATTTCAATATTTTAGAGTTTATGAAGGAATGGATCTAGATAGAATAGCTTTACAGCTTTTTAAAAGACTTAATTTAGATTAAACATAACATATGTGAGAAGTGTCCATATTAGAAAAAAACCCCAACTCATTGCTATGGAGAGTGATCTATATTTTATCTAGGGTTGTTTTTTTAAAATAAATTCTTCTGACAGTAAGGCAGAAAATAGATAAAATAAGAGGTTTTTTTTCTCATACCAACTTGCCTTTGGGTTAAGGAACTGATTAATCTCTAAAGTTGTGTCCTATATTTTGTGATGCTACACCTGAGATGTCATTAGAAATGAAAGAGAATAAGGCATTTTGAAGTATACTTTTTGACTTCATTTCACTTTCTCATGTACAGAGAACAATGAAAAGTATACAATACCCTTTGAGATAACCGAATGCAAAATTATCATCAACTAGAATTTGAGAATCATACACAGTTAATTCTAACTTTGATATATAAAATATTAAAATTCAGATTTCACAGCAAATGACATTTCTGCTTGACCAAGGACAAGCTCCTAAATTCCTTATTCTTACAATTGTACCGAAATGGCATTCACCCTAGACGCTTAACCAGGAAAAATCAGGCCAAGGAGGGCAACCATAAACCATTAAGGGAACCATAAAGGATGAGACCCAATCGCCTCAGTCTGGCAAAGGAAAGCTGTTGATATAACTGAAGATAAACAGAAAAATCAGCCTCCTGCAGTTTGATGGATTCAATAATATTCTGTTTGCCCGCAAGACTGAGTTAGCACTGACACACTGCACTAAACATCCTGAATCACCGCATGTTCTTCCAAATTCAAATAGTACAGTAACAGGATATTTGGAATCCTTTTCTCACTGATGTTAACAATAAGGATAAAATACATTTATCCACTCCTACTTTTAACTCCTCTCAATTGCTGACAATGGTACAGGACCAAATTTTGTCTTCTGTGATTGTATGTGGTTCATCTTAATTTCTGTAGGAGTTATACAAAAGCATTTGCTAATTCAATTTGGCTCACAGTTTTTAATTGTAGAATACCTGGGAGGATACTATGTATTCTGTGAATACCTGGGAGGATACTGTGAATTCTGTGAATTCTGTGAATTCTGTGAATATACTATACAGATTTAAAGTTAATTATATTTACCAGCATGGTCATTATTTTAATTTCCTGCGTTTTGCTCAAAATCAACATGCAACAGCAATATTAGCAGCAGCATTTTTACTACAAATTTAAGCAAAGTGCCTGTAGTTTTAAAGATACTCTAGAAACTGTACCTCAGCTTCCTTATCCACACATCCATAAAACTTCTGTTCCTTTGTTTAGAAAATTGGAAGAACATGTGCTTCCATAATTGTAAATACTTGTGACATTTATATGTGTATTTCCCTGATAGTGATATATATAGCCTTAAAGTTTAGTTCATAAATTACCATGGACCAAAAAAATCATTAAACGTTAAAGTCCTTATGATAATGCACAGTATTATGCGTATCTAGCATTCATAATAAATTTTTAATGTTCTACTAATCCCTAAGATAAAAAGCTCAAGAACTTAACCTCCAGCAATCTCAGCAGTCTCAACATGTCACCAGGCTGTCAAAGGTTCCTCTTTCAATCTAATTGCCGTTGGGCAAGGTGGGCTTGGTGAGAGCTCCTCACTAGTCCATTACATATATACCATGGTGACAGACACTGCTGTGACAGAGACCACCAGTATGACTCCCAAGGCAGCTGTTGAGGTGGATTTGTTTTAATTATTTCTAATTCCAGAGATATTACAAGCCAGAACAGTGTCAATAGTTTCTGTTTCACTTCCACCTTCTGTGTGGAAGGCAGCAAGCTGACAGCTTTCTCTCCGCACATTCCAACTGCAGCTAAACATTACTGTAGAGCTGTTCAGCTAACTAGAAATCTCAAAGTTTTACAGCAACCTGAACAGAATCACCAAAAGGAAATATTTCCTTTTTGCCAAGAAAAAAACGTATTCCCCTTTGTGACTACTGAACATTTCGCAATTTACGTTTCAGATGTTTTGCTGCGGTGGAAGGCAGTAATGGAATGATTATAATGAGACAATGTGGTCCACTGGATACTTCTCAGACAAATTCTGGACATCAGCCCTTGTTTCTTAATGACATATTAGCTTGACATAAAACCAAATATACATTGAGATCTCCACATGATCCCATAGCAGGTGTGAAATTCCTGTAGCCAACCATTGTGTTTGTCCCTGTGTCCTAATCAATGTAAAGAGAAGTTCTATGTTAGTAATATATGTATGTGATACTTAAGTTATCAGAAAAAAGTGACATTTTTAAAGTCAAAATAAATCTTTTTCTTTAGGAATAGAAGTGCTCCTTTGAATTTGAAAAAAAAAAAAAAAAGAGTTACATTTTTACGTTTCTCTCTGTCCTAATGTATGTTTCATTAAAGAATGTTGATTTGCGGTTTTAATTATGATTTACTTCCTCCTCCCCCCTGACAGCTGTGCGAGCTGACCGAATGCGTGGTGGTCGAAACAAGTTTGGACCAATGTACAAGAGAGACAGGGCATTGAAGCAGCAGAAGAAAGCTCTTATTCGCGCAAATGGACTTAAACTGGAAGCCATGACTCAGGTCATCCAAGCAATGCCGACTGACCTGACAATATCCTCTGCAATCCAGAACATCCATTCTGCCTCCAAAGGCCTACCTCTGAACCATACTGCCTTGCCTCCTACAGACTATGACAGAAGTCCCTTTGTAACCTCTCCAATTAGTATGACAATGCCACCCCATGGCAGTTTGCAAGGTTACCAAACCTATGGCCATTTTCCAAGCCGTGCTATCAAGTCCGAGTACCCTGACCCTTACACTAGTTCACCAGAGTCAATAATGGGCTACTCATACATGGATAGTTATCAAACAAGTTCACCAGCAAGTATTCCACATCTGATATTGGAACTCCTGAAATGTGAGCCAGATGAGCCGCAAGTCCAAGCTAAGATCATGGCATATCTACAGCAAGAGCAAGCCAACAGAAGCAAACATGAGAAGCTCAACACATTTGGGCTTATGTGTAAAATGGCTGACCAAACCCTCTTCTCCATTGTTGAGTGGGCTAGGAGTAGCATCTTTTTTAGAGAACTTAAGGTAGGTAACAATCTTACATTATATTACTATTCAATCAAGAAAAAAACCCCAACATTTGTTACAATGTTGTACTTCAAGCAAGAAAGTAGGGTTTATCTTCCCCCCCCCAAGCATCTCATTCTTTATTTGGCCTGAAGTACGCAGACAATTATGATGAGAAACTTGTAGTTGTCTTCCACCTGAGCCTGTAATTAGCTGTAGCAAAGAGATTCAAGTTTCAGTTCAGCTCTTCTGTACTTTACAGTTTATCACAAATGTTGTTAACCTCCACAGGGCCTTGCATAAATTTGAGTCCTTCCCTGTCAGTATTGCTCACTGTCTGGCTTGTACTCAAAGTTGTAGGCACGGCTGTTATGCCATTCTACATTCGTTTATGTAATTATTTCATCACCTCATTTAACATATGGAGGAATGTCATTTCTGTCCATCCTTATGTAGGTCCATATTTGGAATATTCACTTTCTCAATGGGATACATTTTGTGCATTCTCGTGTGTGTAGTTAACCATGAAGGCTGAATCCTAAGCAGGGTATACACCAAACAGAAAACAAGGAGGAAGAAGATACCTTAAGGACTCCTTTTGGTTCTCATCACTACTGATACATGGGGCATTACTTTAATCTTGGCTGGCTACAATGACCTTTAGGCTCTTAATTTTGTTGTAGCACCTAATAAGTCCTCATGCACAGCTCTCTGGTGGCCAGAAATTCCCCCATTTACATTTCTCAGACTCTTTGTTAAGGCAATTTTGTGGTCTGTTGTGGTCAGGTCTGAAATTTTAAGCCAGAAATTTGTGATCAGACACTAGAGATAAACTGCAGTTTTTAACCACTGTCTTGATACAGAAATTAGCTCTGAAAGGAATAAAAGATCTTGTGTCTCAAAAAGACCCTCAAGATGACGAACTCAAATCACATCTGAAGTTCTCTATTATATTGCTAGTTGCTGAATCTCTGTCTGCTACATAGAGATGTTTTTGCCACAATTATTTGCTGCTGAAATCTGTGAAGTTTTGTGACCACCCATAATTTCTTGCTGACCACTGTCAGGCTAAGGGAAAATAATATAATATTCAGATACAACAACTACTGTAGAAGTTCACTGAGAATTGAATCTACGTGAATCAAGAGCACAGAAGGGAGATCCCATTAAAAGGCTGCAGTCAGGATGCTTGCCACAACTATATTTCTGTCATAACCATAATGATGCAGACACATGAAATAAAGCCTGATTACAAGCAAAGCACACTGTATATGTTGCACATACAACTCCAGCTTCTGGCCAGTTTTTCATGAGAATTGTTGCAGGAGCCATTAAAAACTCAGGCTATGCAAAGAGAGAGAAGGGAGGAAGTTTACTCAAAAGGGGGAAAAGAAAATGTATTAAAGAGAGGAAAAGACTGTCACATCTTTGTTTGCTATCTAGATTGTTTACTATTTTATAGTAAGCTATAAGCCAAGCTACCCATTTTAAATAATTTAAAAATGAAAATTGCAAACATGTTACATTTCCGATAGACTATGTTCTAAATACCAGGGATGAGATCTTTCTACCTATATACTGGGGTGTACTTTAGTCTAGAGTAACCATTTTAAAAATCACTGAGACTTGCAGAACAAGATACGCTTCAGTGTAAGAATTTTTAAGTTATGATCTGCCCTAAAATTCCATTTGTGATTGAAGTGAGAATATAAAAAGATATTCAATCAACATTTACTTTTTGTGGTTCCATAGCTTAATCTATCAGCAGATTTTATAAGGCTTTAACATACTCAGTTTTAGAGATGGTCTTCACCGCCAACCTCAGTTTCGATGATATTCATCAACCAACATATGTTTACTAGTATGGACACAAAAGATGCAGAAATTTGTTTCATGAAAATGCTGACCAACTTCTCCTGGCTCTGGATGTACATACATACTACCATGTACATACATGCTTCTGGAAACATATATTCTAAAAATATATATAGATTTTCACACATTTTTAGAAGGCATTGGTTTCATCTCAGTATTTGTACCCTTTGCATCTTAGACACTAAGAGTTCAGTTTCACACCTTCTGGCATATCCAGATCTTTTTCTATTATTTTTTTTTTTTTAATTGGACTAGATCACTAAACTGCACAGCACTCCAGAACAATAAGAACACACTTAGAAATCCATCCACATCCAATATTTAGAGACCAGATTACACATAACGCTAAGAGCTTAAAGCTTCTCAACTTCAAAAAAGTGAGGTGCTCAAAACATGTTTAGATCAGACTCTACTTTGTTAACAGCACCAGGTAACATCATCTCTCTTTGCAGCGGAGAGGAGAGGATCAGAATTAAACAAAGGGTTTCCAAACCTTTCCTGAACACAGCTCTCTTCTATCCATCCATGGTTTCGGCTCCTTCTGATCAAGGTAGCAAAAGCAGCTATTTCAGATTGCTGCACGGAACATAGATACCTGCAGGGAAGGGACAAAAAAAACCAAACCCTAAGGATATGACAGAGATTTTAAATGCAGAAGGAAGGCAAAACCCAATTGTAATAAAGATGCAACTACGTTTTTCAGAACAGCTAACTTTGTTCCCTGCCTGTATGTAGCTGAGAAGTATGTACTTGCTTGAGAAGGTATGTTCCTATTATTCCTACTTCTCTAAACTTAACAACCAAATATTGAGATGTCTTTCAGATAAGACAGGTGCATTAGCAGATCTCTGGGACTAAAATTTTAAATTACTCAAATAATTAAACACTGAAAAAGGACAAATGTGGTTTATATGAAATTCATCTTGATTTTGTCATGATAAGTGATGCCTTGCACAACTGGCTGTGAGTTACTAAACAGCATGTTTGCAATTCTTTACTGTATCCGTTCACTTCATTCTAAATTTAGTCTTACACATTTGTGTCTCCAACTCATATAAAGGGCAAACATTTTCCTTTCTGCTACACCTAGAGATTTGTAGCTAACAGAGTTCAGGAAGGACTGAAAAGGCAGAGGACATAATAAAAAAAATGCTGTCCCAGTCCATTAGTGGTTTAGGCCACATTTACCCTAGAGATAATAACAAAAACCCACCAGTGAACTACAATTTTTAAGTTTTCTCTTTTTTTTTTTTTCATTTAGCTGAAAATTTGATTTTTTAAAAGAGATCTCAAGTGATAACAAACATTTTAAAACGTTATTTCATGAAGCATTTATCAGCTTATGCTTTTCACAATCTTCTCACTTGTTGCTCTACAGGTTGTCAACATCTCTTTTGGAATGTTTTATACATGTAAGCATGTAAAAGGTAAAAATATTGACCAGGCAGAACTACCTACAGCACGCACTGCATTTTACAGAATTTGACCTGTGTGTGAATTTAAGCATATAATTTAAGGCTAAATTGACCAGGCAGAACTACCTACAGCACACACTGCATTTTACAGAATTTTGCTCATATTTACTAAGGAGCAGATCCTCCCATCTTCATGTTGGACATCAGAAATCAATGGAAATATTAATGAAGCAAACTAGTTAGGATTACTAATAATGTCGAAGTAAGATCCAAAGCAGCAGTGGCAATCCACTTTGAATTTAACACCTGCTAAAATCTCAAACATACCTATCTGTCTTATGAAGTCAGAATACTTTGTAATTAGTAATTACATCCTAAATTCTGGGGTTTTGACATCACGTATTACTTGCTGATTCATAATAAGAAATGTTTCTGTATAGTTCTTTACACACAGATGAAATAAGAATTCGCGGATAACCTACTAGTAGACTCACAATGATACTAATAGTAATGAAGGCTTTTGTTTGCTATTCTGGAGTTGTTGAAAGCTCAGTAAATATAAAAGTAAGATATATCCATCTTATCCTCAGCTAAGAAAACTTAGGAATGCCCTGGGGATGCTAGATTTGTAGCCAGCTGTCTTAGTCAGGTGAAAGGTCTTTGTACAAAGCTAAAAAGAAAATATTGCAAGAGTTTCTAGAGTCCAAAGGTTACCTGGCCCCAAGAAAGGATGCAGACAGTTCCACTGGACTGGTCTTTCCCCATCAGCCTGCATCAGGGAAAATTCAACAACTACTTCCAAAGCTAAGTGCTCCTGAACCCATAAAAGAAAGCAGTTTCTGCTTGGGGCAGGAAGAAAACAGGACCTGCACTGTAGAACAGTCCTCAAGGATACTTTATTCTGGCTGAGGATCAGAAAATTTACTAAATGTTGATAGTTACAAAAATGGCACTAAAAAACTTCTGACTCACAGAAAGTATTACCTTGATTTATTTGACTATTTTAGTGAGGATGTCATAGGTCAAAGTTCTATGTGAGCACAAACCCATTTAGTGAATGATTGCAGGAAGAGCTGGTGTACTTCATGTTAAAGAAGCTCATCCTAGAACTACTCACTGAGTTTGCAAATTTAGGCCATTCATTGATGTCAGACTGTATCAGTTCTGGGACAGATTTCTTGCTATAAGTAAAATATTGTCCATGCTTATATTAGCTGCAAATGTGGCCTTCAAATAAAGAATGGTTTAAGCATTATTTCGAAAGGACCTTATCTATAGAACTTCTACTGTATGTGGTAACGCAGATGTTTTGGCAGCTAATAAGTGAAGACGCCTAGTTTTGTATTACATATTCCCCATAAGCGCAACTATATTAGCAGAGTTTCAAATTCTTTCTTAAAGAAGTGCAAACTTAGTCTGAATAGGACTAACAGAACTCCTGGAGTCTCTTCATTTTTTCTGTAAAACGTATTTAGGTAGATATAGTAATATAATGCTCAATACATTAGCTTTATTTTCAAATTTCAGTCTCTATGTAGTTAAGTATCAAGAAATGCATAGAAAATAAAGAATTACAGTACAGAAAACCAATTATTAAACTGAATTAACACAGAATAGGAAAAAACATAAGGTGGTTTTTGTTTTTTTTTTTTTAAGAAAAAAATCAGCAGTGGAATACCTTAAAAGTTCTTCTTCAGGGTGATGAAAGGTTGATATATTATTTAGACT